TCAGCAGAAACAGACCTCAGTTTAGAGGCCGAGTGTCCCTGGGTCTGTCCCCAAGAGGTAGCTGGACAAGGCACGGGTGAGAGCAGGGACCGGGGGTGCCTCACGTGGTGCTCGGGGTGGTGCCTGGCGAGCACGTGGCCCGTCTGCTCAGGGCTGTCCTGAGGGACGCAGTAGGAGACAGACGGCCGCCATCAGTTCTTCCGTTCCCACAGATGGCCCTCCTGCCGTCCGGGAGCCACTGTGTCACAGGCTGGGACGGTGCAGGCCCGTGAGCAGCAGTGTCACCTGATGCTTCACGCCCACCTCATGCCGTGCTGCAGGACCTGCTGTGGGGGCAGCTGGAGGCATGAGGTCCCATTGCTATGACGCTCCGGTCACTGTCATCCCTGACAGCCCGGGGGAGAGGCTGTTTTCTGCGACACGCAGCGCCGTGAAGCCTCCTGGTTACAGTAGATTAATCGTGCCAACCTGCTAGTACCGCATGTGGTGGGATGACACCAGATGGCGAAATCACAGGTGTACTCACACGTACCTCGGGGCACTGTTAGAAACACTCTTTAAAAAGCATTTGCCGGTCCTCTAACTCATCCATTAGAAAGCGTTCACTTGTTCAGAGAAGTCGGAGACCCGAACAGACGTCAGTTCTGGAGTCCCGCCAGGTGGGAGCGAGGAGTCACGAGAAATCTAATACTGACTTCCCCTTTCCTTCGGAAAGCAGTATTCTAAGTTACAAAAACCCAGTTTCAAGTTCTGCGTAAATCGACAGGTGCCTTTTTAAAACAGGGTCTTTACTATTCCTACTTCAAGACCATCATCGAAGCCCCCTCGTTCCTGGAAGGGCTGTGGATGATCATGAATGACAGACTCACCGAGTACCCCCTCGTCATCAACACGGTGAAGCGCTTCCACCTGTACCCGGAGGTGAGTGGTGCTCAGGCAGGCCGTCCTCTCTCGGGCCAGGTGGGGGCGCTGTGGCACTGCACCTGGACTCACGTGGCGAAGGCCCTGGGTCCACGTCCCCGCCCTCTGAACACGCTGGACACACACGTGCCTGTGGTCAGGCTGGCAGGACCGGGCGGATGGCAGTGCAGGACCCCCGCGGGAGGCGTGCCCTTCTCCATCTCTCTGTCTCTGTCTCCTTTTCTCCCTCATTGAGGAAATAAATAAGCAGACGATGTGGGCGGGCACGGGGACCACCTGAAGGGGTGGCGATGGAGACAAGGACACCCCTGACTTGGAGTCACGCTAGTAAGGAGGGCTGAGTTAGCCTCACAGCCAGCAGCTCTGCTTGTCCTCCAGTGCTCGGCCTACCCTGCACATTCCAGAGACAGGCGGGAAAAGCTAGTAAGACCGCTCAGTTCCCAAGATACCGTGGGGACACTAGTTCTGAGTTCCAAGGCACCTCAGAGACAAGCACGCTAATGAAAGGCACTGCTTTTAGTTCTTCATATTTTCATAACACTTAGAAATTACTATCTTTTAAAATTCTTAGTGCTGCAGTCAGCGCGGGAGCCTGGGTGTGTTCCCTTTCCTCTGGGCACACGCCCGGTCATGGGGTTAGTGGGTTAGAAGGTGGTTGGGGCCGGCAGACTGGGTTCCAGTCCCAGACCTGGTGTCTTGCTTTCTCGCTTCCCCTCTCCCTCCCTCACTCTCACTCTGTCCCTCTCAGGTCAAAATAAAAATAAATAAATACATAAAGTTAAATTAAAAAACAATTCTTAACGAAGGAAAGCAGGTGTCTGTATTTTGGTGTTTTGAAGGGCTGCCGCCCCGTTTTCCGTATGGCCCACGAGTTCCCAGCCCCAGTGCCACCGCCAGGCCCTTTGCCACATGGCTACTCGCTGGCGTTGGTGACGGCCTTCAGATGGTGGCAACATGGTGTGGATTGTGATCACATTGCATTTCTTCCTGAGCGGTCCTGAGCATTCTCCCAGACTTGCTGACTGTGCTTTCTGATCAGTCCAGGGTTTAGTGGGCACAGGGATCATTCATTCCACGTCATCCCCGGTTTTGAAAATACGTATTTTATGAAGAAAATAAATGCAAGGATTAAAGTGAAATGCATATTTCTGTGAACAGCTGCATTTCTCTGTCAGTCGTATTTTAGTGACACACTTCCACTCTCCCCCAGTTGCTACTACTTGTATTACAGTTGCTTACTGCACGTACACTGCACTCGTGTGTACTGTGTCTGTGACGTGTCTGTAACATTGCACAGTGACCACTTCTAAGTGGAATGACTTAAATATATTTGGCTAAGTTTGTCGTGTCAAATGCAGCCATCATCAAACAGTACAGAGGGGTCTCCGAAAAGTTCACAGAAAATGCATGTTATGGAGACTACGACTGGGTTTCAAAATCTTTTTTTTTTTTTTTTGCGGCAAAATAAACTTCTGCATGAGCTCTGTGAACCTTTGGAAACCCTCACGTTTGGGAACGAGTATTGCTGTGAAGGTGTGTGTCCTCCGCTGTGCCCCTGTGTCTTCTCTGCAGGTGGTCATAGCCTGCTGGTACCGCGTGTTCATGGGCATGATGAACGTGCTCGGGGTCGAAGCCAAGACCTGCTGGAACGTCACCCGGATAGAGCCTCTGAGCCAAGTGCAGAGCTGCGAAGGCATGTTTCCCGAAACTGCTGCTTGTCCCCAGTGTCTCCATAAACTTCCTGCTGGGTGGTTGGAAAAGTCCCGGCATGTTCTTCTGTATGTCAAGGCTCTCCTGACGGCTCGCTGGGAGAATTCATGTACTTACTCTTTTTACTTTCCCTATGAACTCCTCAATGACTGGTCTACACTTTAAGCAGTTTCCTGCGATGGTCATGGCCTTACTAATCTAAGTATAAATTTGGAATTTACTGTGAGTATTAGTAAATCCCAGATGTAGGGCGGTCTGAAGTAGGAGGTCATCTTTCCTTTCAGAATGAGAAAACACCAAGAAGTTTTTTGGGGCTCCATTAAGCAGATATCTGATTATAATAGTTAATGGCTTAATTCAGTTTGGTGTACATATTTCAGATCAGATATGCCATAAGAGGTTGTCGAGAAACACTGCTTTTCTACACTGGCAGACCAGATGGCTTTAACCAGACTTTGCCCACACGTCTGCTCGGTTGGTGTCTTTGTCGAAGACCTTCTTTCGGGATCATCTCGTAGTCCCTTCTGTGTGAGGAGCGTGTAATTCAGCGCTTTAGAGCCCGAGGACGTTGCTGTCTGTGTGTCTCGTTGCGAAGCCTCTGCACGGTTCTCGGTCCCCTGCTTCCACAGCACGCCCACTGTGTTTTACTCCTGCGTCTGGGTAGACCTGTTAATAACAACACTCAGCTTTCCGAATATACACGAAATCCGCGTTTCTCCTGCACTGTGCTGACCCCTCGGTGGTCTGCCTCTGAGACAGCGCTGCTGGGAGCACGAGGGATGGCGTTGCCTTTTCTCCTGCGGTTTCGTGAGTGTAGAGGTGCTCTGAAGTGAGCTGTGAAGAGACAGCCCAGAGCGGAGCTCTGCTGAGGGTGTTAAACACCCCTGGCCCTGGACACAGCTGGCCTGTCTTAGGTCCCTACTGGTAGGCAAGCGGGTGGCCCTGGGACGCAGCTGAGCCAGGAGGAGGTGGGTTTTACCTTCCAGCCTTTGTGCTGCTGGTGGGTCTGGGGGTGGGGGGCAGCCACCACCGCAGTGCGTGTCACCCACAGAGAACAAGGTCGCCGAGGTCAGGGTCAGGACTGGCGAGAGCAGCATTCCTGGAAGAGAGAGCAGCGGAGGTGCAGCCGGGCTGGGCTCAGGGCCAGATCGTAAAGGCCCTGCCCTGGTCAGGGACGTGTTTTAGAAATTTTTGTCTTAGGGCACATGCACTTGTCAGAGATAGAGATAGTGATAGGGACAGTGAGAAATCCCCCCTGCAGGGATGGCCACATGGCATTCCCTTCTCCATGCTCCTTCCGGGATCCCGGGCACACGTACACGTGCACCTGGCGTGAATTTGAGTTTTAAACCACTGGGTCCAGGACTTGAACTGCAGTCAGCCACATGGGAGCCTAGTCACATAACCACTGTGCCTTCTGCCGGCTCCATTGGTTAAGGATTTCGCACCATGTGCATTGAATAATTTCTTTTTTTTTTTTTTGGAGAGGTTTTCGCTATAGGGCGCGTGTGCTCGCCAGACAGACAGAGAGAGACAGAGAGACAGAAAGCGAGAAATCACCCCCCAGGGGGGATGGTCACGCTGCAGTCCCTTCTCCATTCTCCTCTCGGGATCTTGGGCACGCACGCACACGCGCCTGACATGAGCTTTAAGCCACCGGGTCCAGGATGCGAACCGCGGTCGACTACATGGGAGTCCAGTGACATAGCCATTATGCTAACTTCTGGTCCCTGCATTGAATAATTTCAACAGATAAGCATTTTTTAAAAAATTTTTTAAAGATATTGTCAGAGATTATGTACTTTCCAGCGAGAGAAAGAAAAGGAGAAAGCACACTCACTCACACACCTGTGGGCCCATCCCTTCTCATCTGTCCTCCCTCCTGGCACTGTGCACATGCATTCACATGTGCCCAACATGTTCTGTCAAGCCTCCAAGGCCAGGACTCAAACCCCACAACTGGCCAGGTGGGGTCTTGCCACAGCTGCCCAGATTGGCTTTTCGCGTAGGTTTTTGCCATAGGCCACGTGCATTCCCAGCTGAGAGACAGAGAGGGGAAGTGAGAAATCGCGGCCTGGGGCACGGCCGTGCTGCGGTCCCTTCTCCTGCACTGTCCCTAGGGATTCAGGACACACGCACACGCCTGCCGTGTTTCCGAGCTGGCAGGTCTGGAATGGATCGAGTCAGCCATGGAGGATCCAGCCTGCCAAACCCACAGCCCTGCTGGGCCCCGGATGGGCAGCTGTGAAGCCCCATGTGGTTGCAGGGAAAGGTTCTCGTAGGGCCCACGTGGGTTAGTGAGGCCGGGCCACGCGGCCACGTCTCGGCAAGCACTGGCAGGAAAGGCCCCTGGCAAGTCCTGGACTCGGGATCCCGAAGCAGAATGAGCAGGACTTGGTACCTGTTTGGGGGCGGTGTCAGAATCTCGCAGCCCTGACGCCCTTCCCACCCGAGTCTGGGGTGCTGGGAGAGGAACACGGCAGTTCTGAGGGTTCGGCAGGGCCCGCAGTGGCTGCCCGCGGTGCGAGGGGAGCAGGAGTGGGTGGGTGTGGACGGGAAGCACGTGTGTGCGGACGTTGTCAGGACCACAGCGTGGAGGAAGCGTGCAGAACACGCAGACCAGAGGAGGCCAGGCCAGTCCACGGTGACCCGTGCTGGAAGAGGGTGTGGAGTGACGAGTCTCTAGAAGGGACAGAAAGGCATGGTCAGAGCCATGGACGGGACTGGAAAGTTCCTTCAGCCCCTGGCTCCGACCAGTCAGAGCTGCATAACTTTTGGCAGGTTGCTTAAGTTTCCTGTGTCCTGTGTTCTCCACCATGGAAGTATTTTCACATCCATGAACGTCACCGTGTTGAGAATTATGTGAGGGGTGACCGAAGTGTGAGGTGGGCGCCTTTGCACATGCAGCACGCATGCACCCCCTACACATGCGGCATGCAGGGTTCTAGCCACATGTGGTACTGGCTCAGACAGGTGGGCTCCCAGGGCCTCGCTGCCCTCCAGGCAGGATTGCGTGTCACTCCCGGTGCCGGCTCCAGGCGACAGGTCATCGGGGCCCTGCCTGGTTCTAGACCCACGGTGCGTGGCACCTCTGGGATGGGGAGCCCAGCAGGGCACCACAGTGTCCTGGTGCCTCTCGGCGGAGTGGAACTGTCCCCGTCCGCAGTGGGAAAGCAGGTGCCCCGCAGGCCCCAGCTCTGGACCGGCGGGGCCGCCTGACAGCCTTGTCTCCCCAAGGACCCGGAGAGCCCGCCTGCTTCTACGTCGGAGTGATCTTCATCCTGAACGGGCTAATGATGGGGCTGTTCTTCATGTACGGCGCGTACCTGAGGTGAGCCGGCGGCCGGGGGCTGCTGAGGGGGCCAGGCCATGGTGCTCCGGGCACCGTCCGTAGATTCACTGGCCTTCCGGGAGCCTCACCAGCATCACGAGGCCGAGAACTGGAGGTGCCACTGGGGCAGCATGGAAGGCCCCCTCACTGTGGGGCGCTTGCGGCTCCCCGCGCCTCTGGCGTGGAATTAGCCGACGTGTGGACGCGCTGTCGTGTGGAGGGGCCCGTGGGGCAGCCAGGGCACGCTGCCTCTGCCCACATTCCCTGGAAATGCGAAACGAGGAAGGTGCTAACTACCTGCCACGCGGCCTCTGGGGCCCGCCTGTGAGCGCGGGGCCGTCACCGTGGCTGGTGTCGCCCTGTGCCCAGGCCGGGAGGCAGGCTGAACTTAGTTATGACAGTCACGGATTTTGCTCCCATTCTTGTTTTTGAGGATGGACTTATGAGCTGGTTTTTCGGGGGGAATTATGGTGAAGCCTGCCTGGCCCTCACCTACGACAGCATTCACCTTTCTCACCCAAGGACAATTCGCTGCCCCTTCCTGATTTCTCCCTGCTTTTACTCGGATGTGTGCTGCCTGGAGCAGCAGCAGCCATATTGTGATCAGGAGGGAAAAGGCATTAAAAGAGCAGGTAGGGCCAGCCCGTGACTTTGTGATAAGGGAGCTAGAACCCACGTGGCTGACCGCGTGCTTTGGGTCCTGGACTGGAAAACCGTGCTGGGTGTCTGCACACGTGCCCGACATCCTGAAAGGAGAGTGAGGAGAGGGATCGCAGCATGGCCACAGACAGTCAGGCGTGGTCTCTTCCTCTCTGTTTCACTCAGGGAGTGCACCCTGGCGATTTTTTTGTAAAGGTGTGTGTAGATATAACCACTATTGGCTATGAAAGTGTCACCAGGACTGTGAGAAGACAGGAAGCTGGCATATGAGAAACGGAATCTCCGCCTGGCCACGGTCCTTGGTGGCCCCGGCTGGGAAGCGGCGGTTCTGTCTCTGCTCCATCCACAGTTGGCTGCAGGTCTGACGTAGGAGTACCCTGCTCAGGCTAGCGTGCTGGGACCTCGTGGACACAGCAATGTCTGAGGACGTCCCTCAGTGCTCTGGATCTGTTGTCAGCTCCTGTCCGGACAGAGCCGCGTGTCCGTCCTGCGTGTCCCGTCTGTCCTTCCTTCTCTCACCCCTTCTTTAGATTCCTTTTCGACGTGCACCCTTTGAGCTTCCCTCAGTGAAAATCACGTCTCACTGGCTTCCCCTGCCGGCGTCTTTGAACTCATTCCTTACCCAGCATTTACTGCCTTCCACACACGAGGTCGGGGCTGCGGTGAGAACAGGCAGGCACCTGCCCGCCGGTGCTTAGAACCAGGCAGGCTAAGGG